CATCCTCATGTTCCTCTCACGCAGTTCTGGCGAGCTAAGAAAATGTTTATCTCCCTGAGTTTGGCCTTCATAATTCCATTCCATCACATCGGGGTAGACTGTGGTAGGACTGGGGTAAGACTGAGGGTAGATTGGGGAGAGCCAGTTCAAGTCTACCCTCAGCCATGGAAACTCACTGGGAGACTTCAGATCAACCACTCTCATCCCAACCTATCTCACAGGGTTTTTGTGGGGAGAAAATAATAGAATCATAACATTGGAAGGAATCTTGGTGGTCTTCTAGTTCAATCCCATGCAAGAGCAGGAATCTTCATACCATCCCAGACAAATGGAGGAGCAACCTTTGCTTGAAAACCTCCACTGGTACATATAATTCTGGAGACAGGCTATTCCACTGCTTAATAGCATTCATAGCCAGGAAATTCCTCCTTATTCTGAGTTTGGGTCTCTCTCTGTAAAGCTTCCACCTATTGGTTTTGCTCCTAACTTCAGAAGTTGTGGAGAATAGATCTTTACCCTCTTCCCTGTGACAGCTTTTCAAGTATTGGAAGACCAAGTCTGCCTAAAGCCTTCCCTTCTTTGGACTACAAATTTCATTTCATGATGCTTCATAGGATTTATGAAGAGGAGGGAAAGCTAAGTCTTGAGCTCCTGCAGGAAAAACGGGACATAACTCTGACAACTTAAATAAAAATTTGAGGAAGCTGCAATCTACTGAACTGGCACCAAGTCTAGCAAAATGCAACAGCCTGTGGTTGATAGTAAGCATGAACCTTAACAAACTGGTAACTTCCTGACTAGAATTCCCCTTGATTTTAGCAAAGCATTCAACAAAGTCTTCCATGAGAATCTAGTATGGAAAATGGCAAAATATGAGGTGGACTATGTTATGATGGATGAATCAAGCATGATTAGATGAAAATTCCTATATCTCAGTGGTTCCTAAAGCTGGAAGAAAGTTCAAGCGGCATATTAAAGAGCTCGGTTTAGTCTGTGTGCTGTTCAGTGTATTTATAAATTATTTGGGTTAGAAAATAGGATTATCAGATTTGCAAATGACAAAAAGCCAGAGGGGATTGCAAACAATCTCGAGGACAGTCCTTAGTTTCAAGAGGGACTTGTAAAGTTGAAACAATGGGCAGAAACCAGCAAGATGAATTAACAAAGCTAAGTTTAACTCCTATGGGATGAATGGGAGAAATCAAAAGAATAGGATGGGATGGGGGTGGGGAATCATACTGGGCAACACTACATTTATAATGGTTTTGGATGTCTTGGTAGATACCGAACCAAGATAAACCAAACAGGTGGTGCAACTGCAAAACGAAAACAGAACAAAAAAGGAAAGGTAATTCTAGGCTAAGATATAGTATTATGAACAAAAGAAGTTACTGTTCTTTTTTCTGTATTGTTCACACCACAGCTCCAATATTGCATCCAGTTTAGAGGGACATTGACAAAGTGAAGCATGTCCAGAGAAGAGCAATCAAGATGATAAGGAAACAGACAAACAAACTGGAAGAACAAACTTAAGAGGAACAGTTGGTGGCACGGGGAATGTTTATCCTGGAGAAAAGAAGACTGTAGGGAGACCATGCTGGCAGTCTTCAGGTATCTGAAAAATCATGGAGAAAGTTTAGTAGTTTAAATTACAAGGAAGTTGTAATTTAAAGAAGTAGGAGTAGTTTAGAGTTTAAATTACAAGGAAGCAGATTTTGTCTGGAGGAATTTCTAGGAAGAATTTCTTAAAAGTAACAGCTGTTCAGGAATGGAAGAGACTCCCTGTAATGGGAAGAAAGAATAACCTTGAGGAACAGGAGGAAGACCTTAAACAGAGACAATGGTCAGATAAAAGAAATCTGAGTCCAGGGCAGAAATGTAATTTGAGAAAGTATCTTAAACAAGACCCTCCCTAGTTCTCAGGAAGAAGAAGGGAGGGAGGGGGGAAGGCCATTCAGACTTGCAAGAGTCTGTTATGGTAACCTTATAATAAAAGTAATATTAGCATTCATAACTCTGGCTTCCTAGTCTGACCTACCTTGAAGGGCTGACCCTCCCTGGGGAGGTGGTGAACACTGCTTCATGGGAGGCGTTAGCTGAGACTGGATGGCCGCCTGTAGTAGTGGATTCCTGCACCAAGCTCGTGGTTAGACCAGATGATCTCCTAAGTCCCTTTCAACCTTTCCATTCCAGGGTTCTGAGATAATGCTTCCAATATTCACGCTGGAAGTCTTCCCAGATGTCCTTAGCTGCTTCCTACAGTTCTTTCTGAGCCCTTGAGGATTCCAACCTTGGATTTGTTTTCACTTTTCAAAGCCCAGTATAATATTTTTCTTACCGAAGGGCAATGGGGTAATTGATTGAAACCGTCCCACGTCTAGGGCCCCCCCTCCAAATTATGGCTCAGGATTTGAAATGATCAAATGGGTTAACGCTTTGCATTCAAGGCATTTAAACTACAGTAATCACATAAATGCAACCCCAAGGGTCACCATAGTTGGGGTTTCCCTACCCACAAACTGCTTTATTGAGTCAGTCATTTCAATGGAGAGAGAGAGAGAAAGAGAGAGAAATGAATTCTGACTTCTCCCCCACAACCCCAGCTTCTGAGAGCCTTATAAATGCTTGGCTTGAGATAAAAATCCACAACTGTATACATGAATCCAGAAAGCAAGATGGCTTTGCTAAAAGCTTTTCTGGAACTAGCAAGGATTACGAAGCTCTCGTCAGAAGCAACATTAAGGAGACACCTTCTTCCATCATGTTTTGTCTTCCTGGAAAGGATTTATCCAGACAGCAGTTTCCTTCCTTCCAGGATGCCCCATGATCAATATCATTTCTCTGAGTGTTGTGAAATGAAGGAGTTGCTTCTGGCTTGCAATCGGAGAATTTTTTCAGATTCCAGAGATACCAAAACTTGCTGCAATCCTAGGGAACGTCAGCTTTTTGAGTTTCCACCACTGTCCCTGGTTATCCCTCCTCCCCCACCCCCAACTTTGAATCCCAATGTAAATACTGTGGCCAGAGCAGATAATTTCACATCCAGCCATCTCCTCTGTGGTTTTCCCCAGATGTTCTAGATAAATCTCCCGTCAACCTGCTCACTTTGTGTGTGGGTATGTGTGGGGAAAGACAGCTTTCTTGGCCAACCCCAAGCAAAGATCAGGATAGGTTGCCACCAATTAGGCTGAACCTCCTGACACATCTAGCAGGAGAACGCTCAGGCTTTCGACTTACCCAAGACGGTTCTCTTCCATTCAGATCCAGGAAACCAGGAAGGAAGATGTGCTTAATCATCCTGTCCAAAGGCCAGAATCCAGAACTCAACAAATGGGGTGCCAGTTCCAAAGCACAAGAGTTAGCCAGCTGTATCATTGTGCATACTTGTACATAGGTAGCTTTTAGGAAGCAATTCCCTTTGAAAACCAGTGAAGTGAAATTTCCAGATAGAAAAAGAAGTTTACTGGGAAAAGGGCAGAGTGGAGGAAACAAAGGAAGGGAAGAATCACACATGCAGAATTCTGAGTAAAATCAGTACAGTCTAGGCCTAGCTGAACCAGTTACTTGTTTCCTTCTTGAATAAGCTAAGTTTCAGCTCATGTTCATTGTAGAGAAGAAGTTGGGGGAGAAATATTTTGGGACTTGTGCTTGGAAGTTCTCCCTCCCTCCTTTCCTTCCTCCCTTCTCCTTCCTTCCTTCCCTCCCTCCTCTATTTTTTTCTGATTGTTACAAGCCCCATTTGAACAGGAAACCACAACTGAGCTTTAGGAAGACCTGGAAATATTCACTCTTGGGAAGAAATCCCTGGAGAACTCTGCAATTTATAACTCTCCCATTCATTCTAAAATAGACTTCACACCAACTAACTTCTTTCTTCCCATAATACCATGAGGCAGAAGCTTTCTTTCCCTTCCACAGGCAAAAGGGCCTTTGGAGAGAGAACAGTGGAGGAAAAAAAAAAGGCATTTTCTTCTCATCTTTGCTTTTTTTTAACCTTGATCTGATAACTGTAATGTACAAACAACTACTTTCAACTTTATTGATTAGTCTTACAACCATATCAACAAGAATAAGAAACATCAGTAAAGGTAAAACAAATAACTAATACATGAGATCCATGATACAATAAAATATTATAATAATAAAATGGGATAGTACTAAATATAATACTACTATAAAATAATATAATAATGTGTCGCTAATATCATAAATCCAGATTCATATAAGACCATCACCCCTACATGATACTCCAATCTGTTCTGTATATCAGGCTCTCAGCGGAACTGCCTTGTCCACAAACTTGGCAGTCCTACTCACAATAAAGATATTTGTGCCCGGAAGAAAATAGGATAATCTGTGCTTGGGGTCCCAATAGACTGTTCTTTCCAACAGAGAGGACAAATAATTAAGCCTGGGTGAGTCATAAAGTTTACAGTCGAACAAAACATGGACAATATCTTCTATGGCTGGGTCTTCACATACACATAGCCTCTCATCATAAGGCAGGTGATGTAAACGACCATATGTGACCATGGAGTCCAGTAATTCTAACCTAGCTCTAGTGTAGGCCCTTCTTAGGTTTTGGATTAGACTCATCGACAGTACAAACAACTAGAAAAATATATTTTTAAACAATATATTTTAAAAAAGGGAAAGAAGAATCAGACTAAATACGCACATGCTTAAAAGCTAAAACTGGATCCATGTCTGGTTTCTTCTGACTTGATATTCCTGGTCTCCGAGTTTTTCAGTAGGACGTTCAACAAGTGCGGTATAAGGAAATGGAATTTTTGTATTGTTGAAAATAGCAATACAAACTGCTGGCAGGGAATAGTTTAAGAAATGTGGGGGCTCAGTGCGACATTAAATTTGGAGCAACCCTCTGAAGGGGGAAATGTTTAAATCTGCTAAATGTGATGGGTTTCTGTTAATATGCTTGCATGGAACTCTTCCATTAGACTAAAGCAAGAGGGACAGGTATACGGCGAGGCTTAGAAGGAGTGGGTGACTGTCTATGTATGGCAAAAAACTGATAAGAAACATTCCAAAGGGTTGTAAAAATGGTAGTAGTGTGCAAGGGTGTGCACAAGCATATAAAACATCACCAAACATTTGATGCACATCCCTATTTTGGAACCATGCCCACTCAGCTGACTGTAATAAAACTCTTCTTGGATCCTGGCTCAAAGTCCATTCCACCAGAAAAACCCAGAGCAAAATTCCAGCCAACCCTAGATGAATGTTGCAGATAGATTCCAGCAAAATGGAACCTACAGAACCTGAAGGAACCCTTTAAAATGAATTCTAGATTCTAGAAGAAGCATGTGGGATATAAAAGTCCCCATGCAGAAAAATACTGCTTCAGGGAATAATCCCATTGGCCTGACAACAGGACAATGACCCCAGTGTTGTTGGATCAACCTGCCCCACCTGAACATCTCCAAATCCTCCATTGTGGATCAACCTGCCCCATGTGAATATCCCCAAGTCCTCCATTGTGTTTGGAGGCAAACACAAGGTGCTCTCTCAAGCGTGGTGGGATGGTGGCTGTTATCAGCCATAACTTCTTAACTCTTGGGTCTTCACTGCTTCAGCCTGTTGTTCAGCATAGAGGAGGATACTTTTCTGGGGTCCAATGCAGTTGCAGAAGCTGTGGCCCTCTTAATGTGGACCTCCTTGCTGGTATTTAATTGAATGAGTAGATTCTTGGCAGCTGCTCTGTCTGGAGTTGCATCTAAGGAGTGATTTGCTTCCTTGTAACAATGTGAATACTTGCAAAGAAATGACATACTGGGCCAGGTTGTTTCCCATGGGGAGGGCTGGTATCTACAGTTCCATGTCATATTTCCAAGTTTCTTCCTAGACCTGATAGTCTAGTTTAATTTTTGCAAGAGGCCATTCTATGGGTAGAATGCACTCCTGAAGGACTGTTTCTCCTAGCAACATCATGGCTGGAGCAATAAAGTCCTTATGGACTCTGGTTATATGTAAACCAGGGTCTCTCCGTCCCCTCTCCCAATGATGGTCAGACAGGTAATTTCCCAGCCAGCTGCAAAGTGGTTGAGGGGGATGATCCTTGGGGATTTGAAACTGAGTTGGAGCTGATGGACAGGAGGCTCAGAGCAAGGTTTTGTGCTCCATGGAAGGTTGGGGTTAATACAAAACACTGATTCCTCTTCTGTTGCTTGGCATGATCTGTTTTATAATATCCTCCTCCCCACCTCAAAAACAAATAATCGTGTCTATTTGGATCTAATGACTGGAACCATGCCACTGGAATCTCCCGATTGCAAGGAGATACTTGAGAAGCTGGGGGAGACTTCCGCTGCTTTTTCGAGACTATGGATTCTCAAAGGTTTCCTTCCTTGCGTCTGCAGCAGAAGAGTTACTGTGTGTGCTGCTTCTGCTGTCCTGACAAGTCCTATGAGGACACAGCTTGGCGAACTTCCTCATGCAAAGCTAGGAAGGAGATGAAAAGGGATTATTCCACCACTCCTACAACAGGAGAAAGTCTGTAGCACGGACAAGTGAGACTCCCTCCTCATCTGCCCCCTTTGAGGCCAGAACTGCTCCAAACAGACCCCCCATCTGATCTCAAAGGTGTGTGTTTT